AAGCTCAAGGAGCAAATCGCTATCATCCATGGAAGGACGGCGGTACCCACAGTGAATGACCCAAGACTCCTTCATGCCGAAAACCTGGACGGAAAGGAGCTGGCCAGCCTCATGCACTGCCTGGTGGAGGACAGTAGTAGTGTAAGGCTAAGGCTCTCTGGAGAGGATAGCTACACCTCCTCTGCCACCCCCTTTGAGGGCGTTGGCCGGAACAGCCGAAATGTTCCAACCCTGAAATCTCAACCGGTGGCTAAGGCCAGGGAGCTGGTTGAGGGTGACTCCCGTCTCCTGAAGCGCGACAAACTGGGCCTTCTGTTGATGGGCCACACTCAACACCTCCTCAAGATGTCTGTGCAAAGAGCCGATGTTGTAGGAGAGAATGCGAGCAGACCTCGGGGGGCATCGAACATTACCGCTGCTGGTGCTACTGTTGTCATCGGTAGCGTGGTAGGGTCCAGGATTGGTGGCTTCACCAATTCTGATTCCACGCAGCCCAATGTGCAACGGAAGCATCCCAGCGGACCCTAGTCAAGAGCGGGCGGCGCTCTGCTTACCATTGGGGGCGATGTTGCCAATGTCATGACCCCATCTACCGGCTCTAGCCCTACGACAGACCTCTTTTCTGGAGAGTCCTTTGTTGCGTTTTCTGCGGTCCTTGGCGACAGCGTCCTTGCTCTCCTTAGCACACGCTTGCCACACCTTGCGGGCCTTGGCAGGAACAAGTGCCCTAGCCGCCTGGGGGCAGGGAGACACCGGGATTTCAGCCCGCGGGACCTCTCGATTACACGCCACGCATTTGTGGAGGGGTCGCCAGCACGTAGTGCCCTTTCTCTTGTAGGCCCTCCACGCGTCAGGGCCTGAGCTGGTGAACTGGTGCGCCCCAGCCCACCAACCACGTCGGACTAAGGCGTTGTACTGGGTTTCCCAGCGCCTGTCATACGACTTCATCTGCTTGTCAAGACGTTGGGGACGCGACGACAACTCGTTACCCCCCTCGAAGAGAAGGAGGGTTGGAGATACCATGCACGTTGCGGAGATGGTCCTTGCGGTACTGACTATGGCCAGCCACTCCCGGTTTCTTGTAAACAACATGTCCACAGCCCGGGATATCACATTTCCACCAAACGGAAAGTTCCAGAGAAACCTCAGTGGGGTGGGCGGGGAGGGAGGGGAGCCCGACAAGCTTCGGCTTGACCCTGACGGTCTTGTCACTATGCGCAGCGGCAGCAGCAGAACTCGAGACAGACTTGGGCCTCGCCGACTCGAAGTGAGAGACAGCAACGGACCGCGAAGGACGTGACTCAAGGGAGCAAGCAGTGTCACTCGCAGGACCAGGAGAGACCCGAGAGACCGACTGACCAGGGGACGACCGACCAAGGGGACGAGAGGCGCCTGGCTTGGGCGAGGAGCCGCCTTCAGTCCTTCGTCGTTTGCAGGACCTAGGAGTACTGGGAGGCAGGCTGAGTCCACCTCTGGCTCTCGACGGTGTCCGCGAAGGGAGCGAGAAGGCGTCCTGCAGCTTCGCACCTTTGCCTATCCTGCCCGCACGGGGACCATTAGAAAAAGACAGTGGAGCCGCTTGGGCTGAAGCCTGGGCCGTGGCTACGCTTTCAGCACGTTTGGAAGGAGAACTGCTGGGGAGAGACAGAACGGAAGCTCGACCCGCCCTGGGAGAGGAAGAAGGCAGAGACAGGAGGCCACCCTTGCCCCCACCCCTCAACATGTTCTTAGGCCTCGGGGCAGTCAGCTTGAGCCACGCTGAAGGGCAGTCCGCGCTTGGGGGGCCCAACAAAGAGCGATAGTGAGCATCGCGAAGAACTAAGGTCACCGCCGGTGGGCTCTTGCGAGCCGTGCCCGCACATCCTTCCCGCTCGAATGGAGCCAATACGCTTCGCTGCCATGTTGAGTCCTGCGGCTCGTAATGCCACACAATCGACGGTGTACCTAAGCGTTCGGACAGAGCTTGAAGGGCTACTCCGTCCGCGTAAGCTTCTTTCCTGGCCATCATTTTAATGAAGTCGTCGAACGTAGTGGGAGGTGAATGTCCTCCCCAGAACTGCGGTTCGTCGACCGCAGCTGGATCAATGGCGGGGTCCTCAGCTACCCAGAACTCAGAGAACCGCTGCTTGTGCTTGGCAAGGTGTCCCACCGCCAACAGGCGAAGAGTGGCTGCTTCTCTCTGCAACTCCTCGGGGTTGGGGTCCAGACCCTTCCTATGAGCAATCGCTCCAGCGACCGCTTTGAAAGCGCAGTCACCTCCTCCACCGTCTTCTTTGATGAACCAATTGTGATCAGTCAGATCGAGAGAAGACAACAACATATCATCCGGAGCAGTGGCCTCAGCAAGGGCGGGCCTGTGATCAGGATCGCGCTTCGGTGGGCCAGATTCTTTATGTCTGGTCGGGGGGTAGGGGGCAGGCCTGGCGCGAGCCCTGGTGACCTGAAAACTGTCCACTTCGGATTCAGGGTCAGGTGGTGAATCGAGTTGAGTGGGGCCAGTCACAACACCCAAAACCTCAGGAGCCAGGGAGGAAAGAGGACCAGTTGAGGCAGGGGCATGTAGGGAGGGATGCTTGTCAATCCAGATCTTCTTTGGGCCTCGCACAGGCTCACACTCGGGCCTCGGCCTTTTCCTCGTGGTTTCGAGGCTAACCGTGATGCAGGTGCCCTGTTCGAAGTCTTCAAAGCAGAACGGGGCCTGTGCATCAGGAGGCGGAGTCGCTTTCACGATCCACACCGGCCTGGCATGTTTTGTTCGTGGTTTGCGCCTAGCAATAACCTCATCAACGTGCCACTTAACATCACTAAGGAAATCTCTGACATCGTCTTCGCCCCAAGTCTTGGGGACATCTGCAACTTCCCAAACACGCGAGCGCGCGGGGCATGGGGGAAGGAGTCCGGGGCACCATCGATGATACCAAGACTGCTTTTACCGCCCTGTCGAAAGGCGAGAGGCTTGGCTTGTTTCTGAGCTTGGGCTAGAGCAAACCCCCAATACTCCTCATGAGAAGCAGACGCTTGCTTCGGGACCCAGACAATAGGAGAAAACTGTCGATCCCTATGCTTGTCGAGTACGGTGCAAAACAAGCCCTTCTGTCCGCTAACTTTGGCGAGTGCTTCGCCAACCTCCTGAGGCACTCGCAAGAAAGCGGTCAGTACCTTAGAGTCCTTGTCCTGAGTCTGAGTCCAGCGACCGCCTGTGAGACACGAAACTTTACAGGGCGCGAGCTGATGACAGTTTCTGGACTGTCCGCTTTGTCCTTGGACAGAAAACCTTGGCGGAATACTCCTGGAGCGACCACCCTCAGGGAGCAGAGTTGGGGGCCTCTGGGAGGTTTGAGGGTGACCGAAACAGGCGGTTTGAGATCGGGACCAGGCACAGCGTTGATTGGTCGATTGTCAGGGGCCTTACTAGCCTGCCACCAAACCGTGACAGAGGGTAGTAAGAGCTCCTGTTCGGCAACTGTGGCTACCGAGAGTTCTCCCTCATATCCGAAAGCGTCGCAAAGCGCCTGAACCTCAGCAACGCAATTTGGATCTCTGCCACCACCTCGTTACCGTCACTGAGAGCCTTCTTGAGAGACCCCGGTGTACACAGTACAGGCTCCGAGTCCCACTCAGCACGAGCTACCTGTGCGGCGTAGCGGGGCAAGTGTTGACGGGGAGGCTGTGGCTTAGGTTTCGCACAAGCCTGGAGCACAGGAGGGTGCTGGGAGACGCCTGCCCCCTTCCCTTTAGAAAACTTTTCACAAGACGTAGGGTTGCCTCGGTTCTCACAAGCAGAGGCATCACCTTTAACCCTTGGTTTACCCTTCCCTTTGCTGGGAGCCGCGTCCAGAGACTGAAACTGAGGCTGGGGCGCACAACCAGTCTGCTGACCTCGAACAGTAAGCCACGACTGCAACTTGTTCGTAAGCCTTTCCGCAAGTTTGTCCTCAGACCACTGTTGAGCAATGGCCGCGCGGAGCATCTGCATCAGCCGATCCGCAAGACCAGACCCTTGGGATATTCCACTCCCTGATTCCTGATTAGAAGAGGGTTTTCCCTTCCCTTTGCCCGACTTGGACTTAGAAGCATCATTAGCATCAGGCGTGCCAGACCCTCCCTGGGTTGCTAGCTTCCCTACTCTCACAGCGTGCAGGAAAGAGTGGGAGCCAGGCCTGGGCTCACTAACACACACCAGCAGCACAAGCAGCACGAGAGCTGTCACTCCCAACCAAGCCCAAGGGGCTCGGCGAACCGCTCCGGTAGCCACCGGGGAAGTCTCACCATGGTCGGGGCTGTCAGCTTCCGGCACTCTAGCACTGCGGGCCACACGGAACTGAGGGCCGTTCTGAGGGCTCGAAGCTTGCAAGACTTTTCTTTAGCTACCCCCGCAGTGAACCGATGAAGGCGCTGGGCTCACCACCAGAAGAGGCACCTTCGGGTCGAACCTCTGTGGCATCGGAGACAGAGACAGGTGCTGAGCTACCTGGTGGTGGCGTGGCAGATCAATGCACAGCCAGGAAGGAGTGGCAGAGAACCTTAGTAGGGCTTGGAATGCCACTGAGTAGGCCTGGCGATGGCTGCAGAGTGTGCCGAGCATGATGTGATAGTGATCAGGCTTGCAAGCGCAGGGGCTAAGACCTGTTCGGCCTCTGAGGTCGATGCACTGCTGCTGTGCCCCGGCGGAGAGGCGTGCATCGAGGTGAGGTAGTGTTCGTGTGTGCTCTGTGTCGAACTGGGATAGGACCGACCTCAGTGGGGGGAGTCCAGGTGAGGGGGAAGCTGAGGGAAGTTGTGGTTCGGATGTTTGGTGTTCTGAGGCAGGCACTCGGTATGGCTAGGGTGCAGCTTGCAGCCCACCGTTCCTGTACAGTGCATGGAGCCCATACTGGTCTGATTGGCGGTGCCACCGAGTGGAGCACTCCAGCCTGTTGTCCGCCACGTTGAAGACCTGAGTCTAATGAAGAGGCAGCGTGGCTTCGGTGCTGAACGGAAGGGCAGCTTCAGCCGTGAGGTCACAGGGCAGATCGGAACATGTATGCACGCTTGGCTGAAGAGTCGTCAGTCTTTAAAAACGCATCTATAAGGGCTCCAGGTGAGCTGGGAACAGCAGAGCCAGCAGGAGACTCCACAGCTGCAGAGTGTGACTGGAGATCTGGAGTGCTCGTTGCATTCTGCATGGGACTCTTGGAGTCCGATGCTGCAGCAGGGAAGCCTGGTTGGCACGAATCCAGCTGCTCTCGCACACTGCCTTTTGGCCTAGGACCGAGAGTCTCAGGAGGCCGGGCTGTGGGCCAATCATCCTTGCCAGGCGGCGGTAGCGGATACCTTTGGGGCGTAGATACCACATGCCGTCCGGGCCTTGGGCCGCAATCGCGGTCTTTGATGATGTAGCCGCTTCTGCTGCTGCTGCTGCTGCATTTTCATGATCTCCCGAGCGACGGCGTGGAATGGGAAGTCGTCCGTGAGGGTCTCTGAGAGGGGAACGACTGCGATTGCTGGATTCGCTGGAGGAACGACGCCTGGAGTCTTTCTCAGGAGGGGAATGATCTCGAGCATGCTTGGGTGCACGGGGTCGCGAAGGTAGTCGACCTTGAGCTGCCAGATCGCGAGATGATGTTGCACCCGGAGGGGTGCAAGGGGCTTTGCGGTCTTCGGCTGGTCCATACCTGTTGCGAGGCCTGACGTTTGCAGAAGATTCCCGGGAACCTCCTCCATGGTCAGAAGATGGGGAGGTAGCTTGCCCTCGGCGACTCAGCAGACCTCGAAGATATGGGAGTAAGTACACTGTAAGTGGAGGCGGTGTCCGAGTTTTCCACTCCAAGCTGTGGTATAATATATACTCCTCATCATCATGGGCTGCGCTGGGGACCGGAGTGTCCGAACCCCTTGCCATGTATTGCCTGTAAAGTGGCACATAGAGAGAAGGCAGGCACAGCTGAGGGCTTGGCTGAGGGATTGAGCCCAAAAAGTAAGCCAGCAGGGAGGAAACATGCCAGCACTGTCGGGTACAAGCTGTATGGGTAGATATGTCTGCAGCCGAGTCCTGCACATGGGGAGAAGCGTGGAGGCACCACGGAGTGATGAGGACGCGACCTGAGCAGATATGATCATGTGAATAAATCTCCCTCCATGCAGCAGAAATGTAAAAAGGTGAAGGCAAGCCTCTGCACTCGAACAGTTGTTTTGGTGCACTCGGCTCGACAGAGCAGTCAGCTGCAGCACTTATGGGCACAGGAGAAGTACTGCACATAGCCTGAGATCCGAGAAGAGCAGCTTCAGTCAGTACGTCTGGGAGGCCTGGGTGGCATAGATTTCGGTGGAATCGCCTTGGCCACCAAGGTGAGCGAGTACTCGTAGGGTCGTAGGCAGCCACGTGGTGGAGGGCAGGGGTAGCCACGTACGGCGGGAAGTACACGTGGACACCCCCGCCTCCTGCACCCAGAAGGGAGTAAGGCCAGGGTCCACCCAGCGGCGGGAAGAAGTGGCTGTGTGGGGCATTTGCCGGGTCTGGAACTGGTGGTCCCGAGGCTTTGAAAGAAGGTGTCGGGACTGCGGCTTTAGCTTTGACCGGTGGGCCTTTGGCAGGTGGTGATGTTTTCGGGGCCGCCTTAGCATCACCAGAAGATGTGGCGGATCCTGTCGCTGGTGGCACCGGAGTGTGGCCCGTCGGGCTGTCATCCGAGTCATCCTCCGCTTCGTCGTTCCTGTGTATCGGGCGGGCTTTCGCCGTGGGTCGCATGGCAGGTTCAGAATCAGGCAAGTGAGAAGCTATGAGTGGGCCAGGCTTGAGAGAGCTGTAGCATCGAGAAGGTGAGCTACATCATATACCAGAGTGCAGTGGACACAGCGGAGCTCAAAGAGGTTTCTGGGACTTCGACGGTGTGGATAGCGCGGGCTGCCCGGTCGGAGGTTCAGAGGGAGCCCAAGGAGCCTAGCGATTGGAGACGCTTGCCTAGACGGTCTGACGGGGCACCTGAGGGGCAGGCTTGAAGTAGGTCCATGTAGGAAGGGGATTTGAGGCAGGACCTGCGTCAGGGTGCAGTGTGCCGAGGACTCCTCGAAGCTGGAAAGGTAGGGCCCCGGCGAGGACACCTCCAGCCGGTCGGTAATGTAGAAGGGCCTGGTGGCAGTCGGGACCTGAGTCTCAGGAGACTGGGCTGAGGGTTCCACATTATGTGGTGTGTAGGCACCAGGCGAGGCAGCCTCGAGCCTGGGCCAGGAATGAGCTGTGAGGTGGCGCACAAAGCAGGCGAGGGCCCCGCGTGCTAGGTGATGAAGTCGCTGCAGTCGACAGACTACGGTACAGTGAAGGGGCAGAGAAAGGGCTGCTGCATAGTATGAGAGATCACAGTTAGCACTGTATGTGAGCCACGAACCCTGACAAATCTGAAGCAAAGAGCCTTTTATAAAGATGTGATCTGATGAGGTCACGTCTGGCAGATCCGTCCATTGCCTCCAGGGCTGCCACCGTACCATAGGGCCTGCAAGTGGGAGGATGGAGCAGTTGCGGGGGCTTGTGGCAATTGCCGGCCTCTCAGCAAAGGCAAAAGGATTGCCAGTGGCCTTGCTCGTTAGACCTGTACGTCCACGCTCCTCAAGTGTCATGGGTTCAAGCTTGGCCTGCAGCTGGAAGAATGTTTTGGCCACTGATTGCGGTGCAATCCTGCCAATTGACATATGGCTTGGCATAACCTGTGTGGCGAGGGTTGCGCCTGAGGGGCTTCCGTGCACAGGGGCAGGGCTCAGTCGATGCCCTGGACTGTGAGTACACGTCACTGTTGCACAAGCACACATTCTGCATCCCGCACCTGCTGGCTGTCGCAAGCGATGGGTGCGGTTTGCCGTTCCACGTGTATCCAGATACGAACCTGAGGCAGCACATACCAAGAAGGGGTCCTGAACGGGATACATCGGCCATAGGAAGCAGACAGCTGCTTGGCAGTCAATCCTGTGATGCAGGTTAAAGATGCAGTAGTAGAGCGCAACAGTCAGAAATGCATGTCCAGTGACAGCGGGCCAGCCTGAGTTCGCAGTCGTCTTCGGGATTTTGTTCACAGCCCTTGTGGCTGCTTGGGTGTCTTGACCAGCAGTTGCCATGGCAGCACCGAGGTCCCTGAACACCCTGAACAGCAGGCAAGAGAGAAAAACCCCAAGCCCACAGAAGCACCAAAGCCCTAGTCCGTAGGGCGCCCTGCTGTTGAGCATTACATGCACACATACATACATACATACATACATACATACGTACATACATACATACATGCACACATGCATACACACACACACATACATCCTTACATGCATGCACATTTAATTTCTATCTATGTGTATGTCTATATATATATATATGTATACACACGCCTATATCTTTATCTATATCATATCTCTATATCTATATCTATATATACATACACGTATATATCTATAGATATATGCAGACATACATTCCCTACCCACACGCACACAGGGCTCAGAAAGCCGAGAAAGAAATGGCAATGCTGGTTGCAGCGGCCCGGTGTGGGCCGTGTCCGGCCCCTGCGCGACTCTTGCTTCCGACACGACCGGCGAGGACCAGAGGTGCAGGGCACAGACGAGACTAGTATCTGCTGTGTGTAGGGTTGGAGATGTTTAAGGTTTACGGCAAGGTGAGTGGCGAAGGGGGCATAAGGCCGTGGTCCTGGTCGTTCTGAGCACCAGCCAGGTCTCAGGTTCGTTGCAGCCGCGGCAACTGCTTCTGTGGCTTGTCTCGACTGGTGTCCAGACAACAGGGTGAGACGTGCCGGTTGTTTGATGAGCGAACTTGCACTTGTGACTGGGTCACATGCTACCGTCTGTCCTTCCTCGAAGCTGAAGCCATTGATGCCTTTCCGAAGTTTGTGGCAAACGCAATCGGGATCAATCATTCACAGGAGCCGACCGGCATGCGCCATAGAGCAGACGTTGAAGGAAGTTGGAGTTCACCAGGCCCTGGGCCGGCCCTTGGCGCAGTCTGGCCGTCAGCGGAGCAGCAGCCTAAGATGGGCCCGGGGTTCTGTTCTATGCAATACTATGCAGGACGGTCGATCCAAAGTTCGTGCTAGGCCTATAGGCAGATTTCTTCCGCACTGACAGGATCGGGTCTTGATCTTGATATTGATGTGAAGGGCTCTTTTCTTTCGGCACAAGCCTTTGGACGAAGCACGATCGTGAGAATCCGCCGTGTTTTGAACTCACACCGCACCACACCGCACTGAGCGAGATACAGATGGGCGGAGGTCCACGAAGCCAGAGACAAGTCCGCATGCGTTAGATCGGCCGACGAGAGTGCATCGTGCGTGTCAGTGCTGACATGCATCAGGCGTCGCGCGAGCAGTTGCGTGGCCAGACAGACGATTCTGGGCAGCGGCCCTGGCAAAATGCTGGCATGTGGACCATTGTACGGCCCGTCATGGCCACACTTTCCGATTCGGCATGACTAATTATCGCATCGAAGCGTCATGGCGCACTTAGACAAACCACTCGGGCGATGGCCCTGTTAAGGTCTGCAAACGTCCAGATGGCACCGCGACAGTCTCGATGGAGCGAAGCGTGAGTTGCTGAGACCAAGATGGTTGTAATGTAACATGACATAAGATGGTGCGGACAGGAGGGGTTGCTGAGAGGCAGATGCTTTCCTTGCGTTCGATGCGTACTCCCAGCACATGTCGATTCCCAAGTCGTCTAGCTTCATGCAGTGCTTCACGTAGCTTGCCTGTTGTCAGGCCTGGCACAAGAGAAGTTCGCTTGGGTCAAACACGTACGAGCCCTACAATGCAACAAACCAAGCCTGGACAAGACCTGCAGACCATTGCAGGCCCAGAAACGAGCTGAATTTCTGAAAGGAAGCTGAGCTGAAGTGCGCTTCGAGGTTTTTTTGCATTTGTAGCCCCACGGCTTGGCGCAGAACACCTGGTGGAAACCTGAGTCGAAGGAAAGACTTTGCTTGGTTTCGTTCGACAGAGGCCTGGGTGCGCAGTTCCAAGTTCGTGAGGTAGTTTGGCGGCGTGTGGCTGACGTGGAGCAGGCTGCCGATGCATACCAGGTTCGCTTCTCAGTTGTTCCGAGGGCTACCTCCGCTCATCCATCAGCAGAGTCCCGAACCCGCAACTTTTTCCAGGCAGCAGCCGCAATGCAAACCGGAGGCCAATGTGCTTGTTCTGCACAGATCCGCATCCATGTCGGATGCTCAAGGCTTGCCCATGAAAAAAGGCGAAAGCCTTGCCGCCGCCTCGAGTAAGCCAGCCCGCCCTTGGCTGCTGGGTCTGAGAACCTGGCCAAACGAGGATCCGCTCAGCGATGCGTGCATCCGGCTGACAAAGTGTTCGGACAAGGCGGCACAAACCTTGGCATGGAACCACCTGCCCTCACCAAATCAGCAGGCCCAACTTACCGCGGCTGTTTGGCGTGCTGCACTGATCTACGGGCGGCACGTATGGTCTTTGCCAGGCGAGTCTGGGATGTGTGCTTGAGGTTGGGAGAAGTTGGACGAAAAGGATCCTAACCGCTACTGGGCGGCAGGCTCAGTGCACGCCGAGATCTGTCGGCCTTTTCGCTTCAAGCGAAAGCCCAAGATGCTAAGGCTGCTGGGGGTGACACCTGGATGTACTGGGAAAGCTTCTGGGTTCCTGCAGAGGACAGGTTGCTGAGACACACAGAGGATTTTGAGATCGATGCGCACTTCAGGATGCGGCCCTTGCCACGGCAGGCCGGTGCGTAGGCCCTGAAGTGGACGAACGTTGATGGACACTTGCGTTGGAACAGGCGTGGCGTTTGGCGATGCAGACGGTGCGATGTGTTTTGCTTACATAGTGGTTCTGCCGACTCGATGGCATGCTACACACATCTAGCTACGAATAACCGAACAACCCGTCTGAGGCTGCAGCCCACTTTGGGTGATGCCTGTGACTCGATGTTTTTGCCATGGTCACAGTCGGAGGCGATCCTTGTGGGATTGAAAGGCGCCGGTGAGGATGGCCTCAGATGCCGTGAGTGTGTTGCAACAGGACAGCAGGCACATGTGATTGTGTCGCAGTGATTGATCAGCAGCAGCCAAATGAGGGTCGCTGCTAGTTCGGGTGTCCACAGCTGGCTCACATTGGATTCGGACAAGAACGAACACCGCGTGGTGCGCATGTTTCATTGCCGAATGAGTTTCGCTCGCAAACACACATACGCGAACAGCTACAGAGAGGGACGTTTGCCTCTGCCTCCCCCTTGCACTTACGAATCGAATTCCGAAAGCGAACTCTGGTTCAAGCGAGTTCTGGTTCAAGCCTGTTCCAGCTAACTACCGAGCAAGGAGCCTTCGGTCAAGATAACCTGCCAAGAGGGCATGCACAGTGGAGTTATCCCTGAAGGGGGGAACACCGAATCAAGTTGGCTTCCGATGAGGGAATGAATCCAGCAGCTTCCAGAGAGGAGCAGTGTCGTTTTGCCCGCCGGTTGTACAGTCGAAATTTCGACCAAGTCATAAAGAAGAATACAGCAGGCAGATCTGCGCCCCGCCCTTCGACGAACGCCGGCGGTAAAACAAAGTTGTACACCCCCGCAGGCTTCGCAGGTCGTCTACGGTGCCATTGTTGGCAGATATAATTGCACGTGTTTGGGTTTAGTGTTCTTGGCTTGGCCCCTGGCCATTCTTGCAGCAGCATTGGATTGCGGATAGGACTGTCCATGTGCACCACCTAATGCATGCTGGCTGCAATGTCCTCTTTCCACTTACGGCCATAGCTTGCTTGCACGCAGTAGGGCACAAGTGCTGTGTGTCCCAGCAACGCAAGGGAGGCCTTGTTGAGTGTGCGCACACGCAGCGCCATGCGCACATGCTCCCATGTACTGCTCATGCTGCCTTGCTGTCTTGGAGACATGTGCAGGCAGTGCAAGCTCTTCGTTTAAGCATCTTGCGCGGTGACAGCACAAACCCTGCTGCCAGGATCTTGGTTTCGAGGATGAGCAAGAAAGGATGACTCGGGCGGCCCTCAAGGACAGCTGGTGCATCCGAAGTTTGATGCCAATGCTGGAGAGATGTGGGCGTAGCTGGATCAGATTCTGTCTGTTTCCATTCATGCTCTGTAGTTCCTCCCTTTTCGATGCTTCATGCTTGGTGGGAAGTGAGAGGGTGTAGGTAGAGCCACGGCTGTCCGCTTCTTGTCTCCACGAACACGCATGTCCTTTCCAGAATTCCCGTTTTCCCTCTCCGTAGCATCTGACGTGTGCAGCACTCCTGGGCAGCTCGGAAAGCCCTTTTCTGGACTCCCATTTCCAAGATCCAAGATCAAAGAAAGGGAAGGTGCTTGCTCGCCGATGGACTGGCGCACAACCCCGTGCCCAGCCTGAGCCGGAGAGTTCATGAAGCCCAATCCGAGGCGCTTTCTCTTTCTCCGAATGTGCTGGAAAGCCGTGTGTGTGTGTGTCTCTCATCAGAATCGACTCCGAGGGGGAAACGAGGCTGCTCTGCAAAGGGCCTATCGGACTCTGGAAGCCAAGCCAACTGGTGAACCACAGCGCTGCAGAGCCGATGCTGAGTCTGTCTGTGAAGGGTTGTTCTTGTGTAAATTGCTCGTGTTGAACTTCAACATCGGAAATGCTGCATGAAACTAGCCCTGGGCATGGTGCAAGACAGTGTGCCATCCTCGGCTGGTCCAGAGGTTCGACTCCTGCATTGCAGGACAAGGCATATTCCATCGTGTACGAGTACAATGCCTGGAACTTGTCCTGAAGCTGGGGGCCAGTACAGCAGTGCAAAACTGTTCAGTGCACGGCATTTTGTCAAGATATCGCTATTGAGGTTTGGGGCAGTGACGTGTCGCGCTCTGGCACAGGCTGGCCTGAGCTGTGCATGGGGTTGTGGACGAAGGCGAGCTA